CTTACTTTCTAGGTTCATAACATCCCACTGGTCCCCAGACTGTGTGACTGGCTGTTCTCTATCCGGTGGGACTCTGTCTGAGGCCAAGTGCTCATGGCCCTCTTTAGCTTCCTTATCCTTTGAAGCATGACTTTGGGTTTTCTATCTTACCTGTTGGTCTTGTCCTTTACATTTGTTGAGTATATAAAGGTCTTTTGTATATGGAATTCCCTGCCTGAATCTTTAGTTGTTCTTCAATGTTTGCCTTCTTTTCTCTAGTCTGGGCATTCCTAGAGTTTAATAGAGCTAATCTGTAATGATCTATTTTTCCATTAGCAGTTGCAGCAGAACCTATGAATATTCTTGAATAATAAAGGACTTTGTGGAGAGTGAAAATATCTAGCTTTACTAAATTTTACAATTACTGAATTTTATATACTGAGTGTTCATAAGACAAGACATGCCTGTTCATGGTAGATTAATTGCATGTGTGCACTCCTTTAATTATTTGCTTTCTTGTACCTTTTAGGCATGGCCTTTATCTGGTTATTCTTAATTCTCTTTTCTGTTGATGTTTAAAAATTGAAAATATGCTGAGTGTAGTGGTACATGCCTGTAATCCCAGCAGCTCAAGGGGCTGAGGTAGGAGGATTGTGAGTTCAAAGCCAACCTCAGCAAAAGTGAGGCACTAAGCAACTCAGTGAGACCCTGTCTCTAAATAAAATATAGAATAGGGTTGGGGATGTGGCTCAGTGTTTGAGTGTCCCTGAGTTCAATCTCTGCTACCAGGCCCCCCCCAAAATTGAAAATATGGGTAGGATTAGAGGAGAATAAACACCACCAACAACAACCAAATTCTGGTGGGTGACTTTTAAATTTTAAAAATTAAAGAAATATGTGCATTTTATTACAAAATAATCAAAACGCATTGAAAGGGTTAAAACAAAATATGGTTGTTATTTTCTCTACTTATGAAACTCTTCCCCTCTTTTAGTTTCTCTTTTTGTCATTTATACCTTTCCATATTCCAAATAAAATAACTATGCTATTGTCTTTCAATACATTAATGTTAGACATTCTCTACTGTCCTCCTATTTTGGTAAATATAAAGAAAATAGCTTTCTTGGGCTGGGGTTGTGGCTCAGAGGTAGAGCACTCGCCTGGCATGTTTGAGGCACTGGGTTCGATCCTCAGCACCACATAAAAATAAAGATATTGTGTCCATCTATAACTAAAAAAATATTTTTTTAAAAGTAGCTTTCTTATGCTACTATTCTCTTCCTTTTGTCAGTGATTTTTTTAGGTAATATTCCGTGTTGACATATTATTCTTGTTCAAACATTATTAGCAGCCACGCACTGAAGTTAGCTATAATTTCGTTTCCTCTCTGTTTGCTTTGTCTGAAATTAATAACGGCCTTGTTTTTGTGTGCCTTGTTTTCTTTGCTCTTAGTGCTAATCCTTCTTACATTTTCCAATGGCCTGTCAGTGTAATTTTCCACAAAGTCAATCATGTTAAGCAGTCTATCACTTCTAATTTTTTTTATCTTGTTGACATCTCTTCGGCAGTCCTGCTGCTAGGCCTGCTGCCTTGCCACCACACTGGGCATTCCCTTTGCTTTTCACCAAGTGTGGAACCTGTTTGTCCTGGATCTTGTGTGTGTTTTCTTTTTTCCCCCCTTTTAGTTATTTCCTCATTTTGGTTGAGTGTGTCCTTTGTATGTTTTGTCAAGTTAAAACAAGAGCATTCAGAGTGGTGATGACAGCCCTCATCTGCTCCGGTTTGAATTCACAAGCTCTCCCTGTTTGACCATTAGCATGAGAGTCCCTTGCCTTCTCCAGCTATTAGGTCTCTTGCTTTTATGCTCCTCATGTCTTCCTTCTTCTTGATTTGCAAAGTGAGTTTGGTGGAAGACATTCTTCAAAAATGGTGTATCTGAGCAAAATATAAAGGCACATTATAAATAGATGGCCATTATTCTGTAAATACTTACTTTAATACTCTAATAAGGATTCCAAAGAATATGGGAATATGAAAAATCATTTCTGCTCAGAGTGAGTTTATAAAACAGTTGGACAGACAAAGATCTAGAGGAGAGTGTTTAAGTAAAATTAAGTGTGAAGTTAGATCAGAATTTAAGGGCTTTTCCAGGGAATATGTGATTAATTTCTGTATAAAGCAGAGTACTGAGTTTTATGAAAGAAAGAAAGAGTGCTGACTCTAGTTGGGATGGAATGTATTCTGGAAGAGGCGTTCTTAAAGAATTGTAGGATTCTGTTAAGTGGAGAAGGTAGGAAGGACATTTTTATATGGATATGAAATTTTTATGTGGATGTAGTATCAAGAATATTCTAGAGGAAAAAAAAAAAGCATACCACCTTGACCTTAACAGATTGTGGGAAAATCTCGGGGTTAAAGTTGGAAAAGTAAATTGTGGATAGATTATAGAGGACATTCCATTCCATGTGTTATAGCTTGGATCTTTAATGTTCCCTAAAAAGCTCGTGTATTAGGCAATGTAGAAATGTTCAGAGGTGAAATGTTCTGCTCATCTCAGGCCCAAGACAATGGAATTGACTGACCATAGATTGAACCTCTGGAACCATGAGCCCCAGGTGAACTTTTCTTTCATTAAGTTGTTCTTGTCAGGTGCTTTGGTCACAAGTAAAGCAATTTAAATTTATTTTGCAGTCAGTGAAACACTATCAGAAGTTTTTTAGTAAGCAAATGGTGGGATGAGGCTGATGACATTCCAGAATGTCCCCTGAATGGAATCATAACATGGAGTCTTTTATGTCCGGCTTCTTGCACTTAACATGCATTTAAGATCCCATCCATGTTGTTGCCACATATCAGTAGTTTTTGTTACGGAGTCGTATTTCAGTGCATGCATATATCACACTCTATTTACCAGTTCATATTTGGGTTGTTTCCAGTTTTAGGTCATTATGTATAAAACTGCTGTAAACATTTGCATACAGGTTTTGTGTGGACATGTTTTCATTTCTTTTGGGTAAATACCTGGAGGTAGGATTGCTAGACAGCATTATAAGTGAGTGGTTAGCTTTATGACACACTGCCAACAGTTTTTCAAAATGGCTGTACAACTTTCCATTCTTATCTGCAATAATGGGAGTTGCAGTATCTCCATGTTCTGTCCAGTGTTTCATATAGTCATTGTCTTTTTTTTTTTTTTTTAAGCACTGGGGAAGTAACCTAGAGAAGCCCTACCACTGAGCTATATCTCCAACCCTTTTAACCTGTTGAGACAGGTTCTTGCTAAGTTGCTTACAGCCTCACTAAATTGCTGAGGCTGGCCTCAAACTTAGCTTCCTGTCTCAGCCTCCCGAGTTACTGGCATTATAGGTGTATTCCACATCCAGCGGACACAGTCATTTTCTTGAAGTCATTTGGATCTCTAGTGATCTCATGGTGGTTTGAATATACGTATCTCTAATTATCCAAGATGCAAAGCATCTTTCCATGTGCTTATTTACCATCTACATATCTTCTATAGTGATTTATCAGTTTAAGTCTTTTACTCATTTTTAAAAGAATGTGTTTATTGATGTGTAAAAAGTATACTTGTTCATTACAAATTCAAAAATGCAGAAAAATACAAAAAGGAAAGGAAGCCACCTTAATTCCAAGTATCCAGAAATAACCATTTTAATATTAATATTCTAGACATTTCACCCTTTTTGTATATACACTGATAAAAGGACAGGCAGGTGGGTAGATGATAAACGGATGGATGACTAGATGGACAGATGGAAAATTTTATGTAAATGAGATCAGACTTGATATGTTGATTTTTTTATTATAAAATAATTCACATTCTATAAAACTCATCTGTGAAAGCATATAATTTCACTGTTTTTTTAGTATTTCCACCACTTTTTTAAAATTATTTTTTATTTATATATGACAGTGGAATGCATTACAATTCTTATTACATCTGTAGAGTATTTCCATCACTTTTAATTTCAGAAAACTCTCATCCCAAAGAGAAATTCCATATTCATTAAATGTCAATTTTCATTGCCCCCCACTCTCTAGTCTTACACAACTAGTAACCTACTTTTTCTCTCTATGGATTTACCTGTTTTGGAAACTTCGTATGAATGGAATCCTTTTGTGTCTGACTTCCTTCACTTAGCATGCTTTCAAGGGTTGTCTTGTAGCATGTATCACTATTTCATTCCTTTTTATGACTGACTTATATTTTAGGTATTGTATACCATATTGTATTTATCAATTCTTCCTGCAACTGATGAACTATTTGACAATTGTAAATAATGCTGCCATAAATGTTTTTGTGTGGACATATGTTTTCCATTTCTTGGCTTGGAATACCTAGAAGTGTTGCTCAGTTTTTATATTGAGTTGTCTGGTCATTATGGAGCTCTTAGGTATATAAAGTTTTAAATTGTGAACTTGCAGGTGTATGTATTTTTTTTAAATTCAGGTAACCCTAGTCATTTTACTTGTGATGTAAACATAACGAAGGCTTTATAATGGCTTGATTATCCAGTGTCTTCCAAATATTGTTAAGTCAACTTATTGATTTCATGATGATGATGATGATGATGATGATGATGATGATTAATGTTAACATTTTCAGTGGGTCAAGCCCAGGGTCTCAGGCACAGTAGGTAAGTTCTCTGTCACTGAGCTATATTCTGGGCTGTATATTATTGTTGTATTTTTTTAATCTTAAATATTTCTTCAGATTTTACTCCTTCCTAGAATTCCTAGTCACCGATTGCATGAGAATTTATTCATATTGCCTTCTCAGTAGTGCCATCCTACTAAGGTATTGACCTAAGTCTTTAGGGGGGAAGTTTAATGCTCAAATATGAGAGTATAAATATAAGTATAAATAAATACCCCAGTTACATTTGGTGACTTAAATAAAGGTGCCTTGGTGGCTGTCTGTCAATTTTTTATTTAGGGTCTGCGTGATGTAGAGTGGCACCCTGTAAGTTAATGAGCTGTGGCTGTCATGCTGTTTCTTTCAGCATTGCTGATAGACAGAGTGCCTTGGAGGCTGAGCTGAGGACAGTGCAAGCCTCTCGCAGAGATCTGGAGAACTTTCTAAAGTGGGTCCAAGAAGCAGAAACCACCTTGAATGTGCTTGCGGATGCCTCTCAGCGGGAGAATGCTCTGCAGGACGGGGTCTTGGCCAGGGAACTCAAACAGCAGATGCAGGTAAGTGTGTGGAAACCACACCAGGATTTTTGTTTCTGCTGTGCCTTCTGGATTCATCTACATGCAGATTTATTACTGTTAAAAGGTGAGGCTTTCACCTTATTTAGTTATGAAATCCATGTGCCCCTGTGAATAATTGGTTTCTGGAAATAAGATCTTTAAAGAGCTTTTACTTAATATTAGAGGGGGGGGGACTCCCTGTTTTATGGAAGTAATAATTGTTTATTTAGAGGTAGAGCCTCAATGCTCTTCTGTTTTCTGTCACTTTAAGCTCTATTGGAGTTAGCTTTATTGAATCCTAAATTATAAGGGCATTTTCCCTTAATATGAAATAGTTTCTTTCCCCATTCATTATAAATACTTAATATAAAAGCTACAAAAGCCCTATGGCTTGGTTTACAACTCAGGCTATTAGGCTTGAAGGTATTATTTTTATGTCTTTAGCTTGATAGCTATGATTGTATATGCAGTCTGAGGTTCAAATTTTTCTTCTACAAGAAATGTTCTAATGTAAACTCTTTTCTTTAAACAAATTTTCTGAGAAATCTAATGAAGCCCATCTGAATCTGTTTTCCACCCCAAGTCCTGCTGCTTCTGTGCCCTTGAACCTCTCATTTTATGTGTGAGTTGACCTCTTCTTGCCAATCACATAGGCCTTCTCACTTTGAACTTAATTCAAAACCTATGTCAGCAGGGAATTCTCCTTGTCTAGTATAGCTTTACACCTGGTGGCCTCTTTATGCCATGGCAGTCACACATCAGTTTGACAATTACAATTTCTGATATGCTGGTGAATATATGTTCTATTGTCGTTTGATGCATATGCCCTCCTGTCCCCAGTTCATCACATGGTTCTTCAAGGACAGCAATGATGCTATTCCATGTTGTTACGCATAGAGTGCTCTGGATGCAAATCCTAAGTCTGAACTGACTGCTTCTCTTGAACCCTGACTTCACCTGTTCAAATTTACTATTGAAGATGGTATTTGAATCAACTCTTGGGAACTCTTTTCCCTGGACATATCCAAAAAATTGTTCTTTTAAAAAAGTCAGTGAATATGTGGATCTGGATAAAGGGTCTAAAGACTTTGTTTGAACTCTTCTTATTCTTATACTTTCTAAGTTTGAAATCATTTTCATTAAAAAAAAATTTACAGAATTTTTAAAAAGAAACTTTTTTGGTACAGGTTTATATATAGCTTGTTCCCATGCATAAAGACTCTTACTGTGTTTAACGGTTGAGTTTTTAAGATTAATTTAGTGAAAATCTGTTGACTTACATTACATTTAATTTCTTATTCATTACACAATATATTTGTGACTTGGTAATGAGAATAACCAGGCAAGTATTGAAATTAAATGGGTTCTTTTGTCTCACCCACTGGAGTCTCATAAGGTCACTATTAATGTTAATTGATACAGTATTTTGCAATCATCTGGATGTTAGAGGTAACAGAGGGTTGTCAATGTGGGTAGATGATTGTTTTTTATGGTTTAAACAAATGATAAGCCTGATCTATAAGTGCTTATGTATATATTTTAATTTGTGTGATGGTTCTTACTTCAACATATTTAGACTATGCACTTGAGTAGGTAACAGTTTATAGGCAGGGAACAGAGGAGGCTTAAAATGAACTTGATAATGAGTACCAGCAAAACACAGGTCTGCTGGAGAGTTTAATGTTGTTTTCTGATACATTTTGTCTTATTCTAACCATAGCCCAAGCTCCTTTCAATATTTAATGAATATTCAAACTATGGTAGAAATAAATTTAAATAGAAATGTTTAAAATCTTTTAAATAAAAATAACTAAGCACAGGATTACTTGTCTTAGAGCAAATAGCAACAAGAGAAAAGGCAGCTGACTAAAGCACTAAAATACAATGTATATAGTAATTGTTTTTCAGAAATAATGGTGCTAATATTGTCTGCTTAGGTTCATAGGAAGTATTAAAAAGTGCATTTTCAGGGCTGGGGTTGTGACTCAGTGGTAGAGTGTTCACCTAGCATGTGTGAGGCCCTGGGTTCGATCTTCATCACCACTTAAAAAAATAAGTAAATGGAATAGATATTGTGTCCAACTACAACCAAAAAATAAATATTAAAAAAAGTACATTTTCAGGAGCCTACTTAAATCTGTTTATCTGAAGGTAAGAATGTACATTTGTTATGTTTAGGAGGTTTCACATTAGGGTAATTTGTATGATTTTTTTTTCTCCCTTGCTTCTTTACTAAATGCTCTTAATTTGAAAGCATTCTCTTCATTTTATTAAAAAAAAAACATATTCTGTGAGTTCACTTTCAGCACCTTATTGGTAGGTGATCTTTAGAGGTTTAGTATGTTTGGCTGAGTATTTTTGAGGCAAGAGAATTTTAATTTTCCTATGGGCTTACACAGTAATGATGCTCATTTGTGTGAGCGACTTAAAATAGAAACTTGTTTGGAAATGAAAGATTTGTGTTGAATAAACAAATGTGCAAAACCACTGGAAGTCTTAAATTTTTTGGAGGTGCGGTGATGGTAGTGGGCCATCTCTATAGGCACTGTGCAAGATGGAGAGACTTTGGAGGAGTTGTGCTCCATGCACAGAACTGGTTAGACGACGTGTTCACTGTTTATGTTTGCTTCATGTCTTGTGGTTGTATTTTGTGAAGATGAAATTTATTTTATATTCCATCCAAAGTGAATCTTGGTTCAACTTTGATAGTTTGGAAACACAGTGGAACACGAAGATGAATTTCTGGATGTGTGTATACTGCCTGCCATTTTTTGTCAAGGGATACATGGTGATCTGGATTTATGTTTCAATACAAGATCCAACAATCATCTCAGCAGAGGCCTGTTGGCAGGAGAAATGCAGATCCTTTGGTGACTTGCAGGAAAGAGAACCTCCTTGAGAATTGAGCAGTCTAGACCATAAAGGGCCTTGCATACCTGGTTAAGGAGTTTATACCTCAACCTGGTGGCAGTGGGGAGAAGCTGACAAGGATAGTAAACCAGACATAAATGTGACTTATCTTTTATAGGAATCTAGCTAATGGCATTATGAGGAATGGATTTGCACTAGGAAAAAACAACAATTGAAAGAATACATAACTCTCCAGGCCACGGGTGAGAAGGACCAGGAGAGAGGAGGTGGTAGAGGGAATGGAGATACATGCCTTGGCAGTATGGGTCAACTGAGTCGGGGAGTATTAAAGACAAGAAAGAAGGCCTTGTGGTAGTAGAGCCTGAGGCAGGGAACACGGGAAAATTCCAGGACTGGGTGCAAGTTAGTTGGGAAAGTGAAGGGATGGCAAATTCCAGTCTGACTCTATTGCAATGAGGCACTTGAGTGACATCTAGGAAGAGCTGCCTGGGACTCAACGGTTACTGTGACTCTGCATCCCAATGAGAGAATTTGGCCCAAATTTGAGAAACTATTATTTATTTATTACTTCCATGTGAAAACCTGTATTGGCTTACCAATTAGTTTATTAATTAAGATATATTTAAATTTTCATGGCCAACAGTCCAGGACATGATTTTAATTATATATTTTTAATTAAAGCTTTGTATTTTAGCAGTACCAACTAATTGGGATGTTCTGAGTCTTTCCTGTGTGACATTTTGAGGCCATGAGGCCTTTCTGGAGTGGTATAATAGGTGGCTGGTTTTGCTCTGTAACAATTTGTGTTTTAGGATTATTATATTTTCGTCTCCTAGTTTGCTTTTAGCCCAGTTTTTAATCCTTGTGTTCCACTGGTGCAGACTTTGTAGATTATTTTGGATCTTTCTCCATATCTAGCCTCATACCTGGCACTGTGTTTTGGGAGTAAATAGTTCTCTCCTGGGAATCCACCTGCTGGTTCTGGAATGGTAGTTATACTGGTCAAGCATTCCTAATCCAAAAATCTGAAATCCAAACACTCCAAACTCTGAAAGTTTTTGAGTGCTGACTTGATGCCACAAATGGAAAATGACACACCATGAAAGTTTGTCCCATGTACAAAATTGTTAATATTCTGTACAGAATTACAATCTGGCTGTGTGGATAAGGCACATATGAAACATCAAAGAATTTTGTTTAGACTTGGGTCTCATTCCCAAGATATCTCTTTATATATTTGCAATTACTTCATCCCCAAATCTGAGAAATCTGAAATCCAAAATACTTCTGGTCCTGAGCATTTCAGATTTGGGATACTCAACCTGTAACTTCCTATTTTTCTTAGCAACCTTATTGGTTATGATTCTCATACTATGTAGTCTACTTTACAATTCAGTTATTTTTAGCATATGCACAGTTATGCCACCATCACGTACATCAACTTAGGACATTTTTATCACCTCGACTGACAACCCTTTTCTGTTTAGCTATCAATCCCTTATTTTATCCCACCATTCCTTTCCCTCCACCCGAAGTAATCACTAATTTATCTGTTTGTCTACGAACTTAACATTTTATTTTGTGGACTTAACTATTTTACATTATGACAACACGTTCTGTTTTGGGCTTTAACAAATTCCATTGATACTGTTAGCCTCACCAGAGGGAGGCAGTATAGAATCTCAGTAGAAATTTGCAGGAGTGAATACATACCAGCAGTAGGCCACAAGATACTTCTTGATAAACAGAACCCTGTAAGACCCAGTGTAGGACTTTAAGTCATTCTAACATGAAGGACTGAGGACACAGATGAAGTAAAAGAAGAGAAAGAAATCTTTGAAAACCCAGCATTTCGTTTACGGAATCATGACAACATTGGAGAGGTGATACTTCAGCACTGCCCAGGTTATTAGTCTGAGCAGGATTCTGATGGGAAACATCTGGGTTCTATTTCTGGCTGTGCTCTTTGACCCAGTCATTTAATCATCTTGGGTTAATCTGCTCATCTCTTAATGGCACTTTCCCCCAATTGATGTTGTAATGCTACTCAAGCTGCAGTAGAAAATGTGTCTCAAATATGTACACAACACACATAAAATACCCCAAAATTCTGTCCTGGCTCTTTGTAT